CTCTCTCTCTCTCTCCCATCATCCCGCTCATCACCCCCCTTTGGATCCGGCCATGTCTTCATCACACCCGCAAGCGTCAGGCTCCACCCCGTCCTCCTCCGAAGCGGTTCGAGTCTACCGTGCGCCATCCTCCTCGTCACCATCTCTGCCGCCTCCGGCCGATGACGACCTCAAGCCTACGCCCGAGGAGCTCAAGGCGGCATTCAAATCTACACTGCTCGGGCGGCACGGTCCAGATGCTCCGCTGCTCACGCGCGCCCTGCGCGAGAAGGAGGAGCAGAGGCTAGGCCTCCACTCGTCGCGAAATCGACACTGGGATGACGTCAAGATCCGCATCCGCTTCTCCGATCGTACTATGGTCGAGGGGTCGTTCAGTGAAGCAGATAAGATCGACAAGGTGTACGAGTTTTTGGAGTCCGTGCTCGATCCAGCAGCCAAGGGCAAGGGCGTGGTCATCTATACGGCCCCGCCAAAGTGCGAGTACAGGAGAATGGATGCAAAGGTGAATGCCAAGACGCTCCGGCAGCTAGGCTTGATCCCGAGCGCCGTCGTCAGCTTACGATGGGACGATCCCCAGATGAATTGTAAGTGCCTCCACCAACCCGCAAGCGATAGAGAGGAAAGAGGATTGACGTTTGTATCTTGGGGCATGTAGCAAATGCATACCCGGCTCCCATCCGTCAAGACCTCCGATCGCAAGCGCAAGATCTTCCATCGTCCAACGCGCAATCTTCCACAGCACCAGCAGCGTCGGCACCAGAGGACAAGCAGAAACCTCTACCCAAGTGGCTAAAGAACATTGTCAGTAAGTCTTGGCCCCTTTGCAATGCTTATAGCCAAAGCAGATTCGGTCGGACTGACCGATGCGCCTCGTCTCCATGCCCAACAGAAAAGTGACGAGCCGTTGGGACAGAATAAGAGACAGCGTCTCATCCCGCCTTGTGCACACGATATGGTTGTCGACTAGCAGCGCGCAATGTAGTTCCAAAACGTATTGGCATTTGCCTGTTGCAAGCGGGGGAGGGGCGGTTACTGGGTCTTGCGCGTGCTGAGCATACGATGTACATCGACGGGTACCGCGTAGCTCTCGCCCACCAGCTGTTTCACCGCCACGCACAGGCGGTCGATGCGCACCACGAGCCCGAACAGCGTGGCGACGCCGACGGCAAACGTCATGTACTCGGCATCCTCGAGCGTCTGCAGCGTGATCTTGGTGGGCAGTTCCGCCAGCAGCGGATCGGTGGCCGTGTGGACGTCGTCGGGCAGGTAGGCGTTGAAGCCGTGCGGGGTGTCCATGAACCGGTCCACGAGCGGGCACGGTGTAACTTGCGGTAAGGGCTCGGCGGTCTTCAGCGCGGTCGAGCACATGCTGATCACGCTCAACACATCGCCGAGGAAGCGAGGATCGAGAAAGCGCGTGCGCCGAAGCAGCGCGATCGAGTAGGCGGGCCCAAGGCGCTCCAGGACAGCAATGCAGTGCGAGAGCAGCTTGGAAATCTCCATCTGCACCGAGAAGAGCGCAGCGTAGCGCGACGAGGGCCACCGCCCGCGCAGCGAGAATTCGTACGACACGTTGACCGAGATCATCGACAACCGTCGCAGCTTGGCGCGCACACCGATGATGCGTTTGCGCACCACCTCCGACGAAGGCACCTCGGCCACCGACTCTCCTTCCAGTCTCCGAGAGGCATGGTCGTGGTGGCCGTGACTGGCAATGCCGACGACGGCACAGTAGATCTTGCCCAGCTCGGCAATCGTAGCGGCGTGCGACAGGCGCTGGTACTCGCGCAGCGTCGACGAGGGCGGCAGGTAGCTAAAGATGTACGCCGCCGACACACCCACGATGACCGCCACCAGCCGACGCCACGCCGTGCTCCACCCATACCCGGGCGACCCCGGCGTTGGATTCGTCACGTCCTTCCAGCTATACCCCACAATCAGCACCGTCGTAACGCTCGCGATGATCGGCGTAATCGGCGGACCGGGATAGTAGATTCTGTACAAGAACAGCAGTGGGAAAGCCACGGCGCATGTGGCCCCCAGCCCGTACGCATTGCCGCGCCCAGAGCCCGTCGAGATGTACCAGATGACCAGTGCCCACACGGCGCCGATGACCGTGGCGAGGATGCGCGAGAGCAGCGCAAACGCCGTCTCGCCGCGGAAGCGCGCGAGCGTCAGCTGCGCCATGAAGATGGCCCAGATCGCGCGGTTCGAGTAGCACCACGGCGCCGACGACTTGATGTACGCCGGCAGCGACACGAGCGCGATCAGCACCGCCGCCTTGATCCCGAACAGTGCGTTGCCGCGGAACGGACGCCGCACCCACATGTAGATCGTGTGCCCCACCACCTGTAGCAGCCCCTCCGGGTCGAGTGCGTCCGGATCGCGACGCCGCGTCGAGCCCAGATCGACAATCGGCTCGGCGGTGGCAGTGTCTGACTCGGTGCCGCCAAAGTGTGCGTGCGCGTGTGCGGCCTTGGGAGGGACGTGCTCGTCGACGGCGGTGTTGGTGCTGCGGCTGCGCTGGCGCGAGGCGAGCGGCGTATCGGAGCTAATGTCCGGAATATGCTCCGGGTCGGTGCTCGGCTCGTCGTCGTCGTGCGCGTCGCCCGAGGCGTTGCGCCACACGTCGGCCGAGAAGATCCGCGGCCAGTGCGGGAACCACAGGCTGGCGGCGGTGCGCTCGCTCTGCACGTGCTCGACGTCGCGCAGCAGCGTGAGGAGGCGCTCGGTAAAGTTGATCGTGTGGAACTGGTGCAGCCAGGCCTGGTAGAGGTAGCGGTGGTGGATCTTGCCGATCTCGCCCGGCCCCGTGCGCAGGTCCAGCTCGGCAGCTGCATCGTCGGTGGCCCCCGACGCATCGTGCGCGCGCAAAGCCGCCTTGTACGGCTCGAGCACCGCGAGCCGCTTCGAGGTGCGGAAGTCCGAGAGTGCCGTCTCGACGGAAGCGATCACCCTGCGTGTGGATTCGGCCTGCTGCCGTCCCTTTTCGGCTCGCTGGGAGGCTGACAGCATGAGCCGATCGCGCAAGAAGGCGTAGCGGTGCGAATTGAGGTGCGCCAACCACGCGGTAATGTGCCGAATCGCGCCAGCGTCGGTGGCAAGCAGCTCGCAAGACGTCTCGCGGATCAGGCGCGCAAACATCTCGGTGACGTGATTCGCCGCCGCCGTATGCAGGTACGTCTCGAGGTTGCCAAAGCGGATGGACTCCCAGATGGCGACGGGCGCCGGGTCGCGCCTGTGCACAAAGTTGTGCAGCATGTGGCTGGAGCGCTCCCACGCGTGGTGGTGGTGGTGCCAAGGGGTGTGATCGCGCGCGTCGGCGGGGCTGTTGTGGCCGTGGTGCATCCAGCGGCGCGGCGAGGAGCTGCGCGAGGCCGAGGCGATGGAGCGCGCCATCTTGCGGAAGCGCGACGAGCTCAGCTCGTTGCCCGGCTGCACAGACGGGTGCTCGTCGAGCTGGCGGAACGCCGTGGCGCTGGCGCCGGCCGAGTCGGTGGTCGCGTCGTGCGGAAACAGCTGTGCGTGCAGCGGCGACTCGCGGTGCGGCGTCGAGGTGCCCGAGGCGGGCAGCAGCGCGTGCGGCGTGTCGGAGAGGTGCTGCGCCGGTGCGGGACCGGACGAGTGCGGGCGTGACGGAGGATGGAGCTGCACATGATGCGCCGTGGCATGGTGGCCCGAGTCGGACGTGTTGCGGGCGTGGTCGAGCGAGGTGCGTGGCGTGATGGCGGGCGTGATCGCAGGTGTTGCGAGCCGCGACGGCACGGGTGTCTTGGGGAAGTGCGCCGACTGGATATCCGCCTTGATCGACGAGTAGTAGTACGCCCATCCGTCGGCAGGAGCGACCAAGGAGCGCGTGAGCCGCTCAAACTCGCGCAGATCGTCGCCATTGGCCAGTCCGAACGACACCTCGCGCGTCAGCAGGCGCGACGAGAGCGAGAGCGGCATGAGCCCGCCCTCGGCAGCCGCTAGCTTGCGGGCGACAAAGTCGAAGTCGAATCCTTCCTTGGCATCCTTGTCCGCAGGCGCAGCCGTGTCGAGCGGCGAGGTTCGGAGCAGCTTGACCTGGTCGCCACACGCGGCGGCGATGGGGTCGAGTACGGCGATGAGTCTCTCTACGAACTGCGAGTTGACGGATTTGGGGAAGAAGATGACGGAAAGGATGATGTTCACCGCCGCCTTGACGGCGAGGGGCACGACGACGGACTGGCCGAGCGAATAGAAGACGTACGGATAGAGCGGCGCGTAGGTCAAGCAGATGTTCATGAGGATGCAGCTGAGCACCGTGGCAAAGAGGAAAGGGCTGGGGCCGAAGCGGACCTTGATGTAGAGCACGACGGCGGAGCCGATGGAGAGGAAGACGGCGCAGACGATGCTGGAGCGTGCCTCGATGTAGTCGCCCGCCAGCACGCGCTGGATGCTCGTCTGCGTCTGCGACAGCTTGGTGGTGCGCGCGGCGTGGGCGATGGCGATGCCGATGTTGGACCATGCCCAGGCGATGCATACGAAGAGGAGCGTGAAGAACTCGCGTTCCACCACCGCCGCCAGCGGCACCTCGGCGGGCTGGATGGCGCACGCGACGAGCACGAGGAACGAGGCGTTGCCGAGCGCACGCTCCGACGGTGCAATGAGGAAGATCAGCAGGCATATCCACGCCAGCAGCGCCGAGCGGATGACGGGCTTGAGTTTGGGCCACGTCAAGCATAGCCCCACCCAGGCCACATATGATGGCAGCGGATCGAGGCCGACGCGACGCGCGAATGGCTTCCAGTGTCTCGCGAGTGTGCTGCGTTTTGCCCTGTCGGCATTGTCGCTGATGGCGTCGGGGCTGTGTTGTTTCTCGGCCTGGTTGGCGTCGGTTGCGGATGGAACCGGAGGCGATGCGCTGCTCACTGCGATGTGGGGTGCAGCAGCGTCGGCCGTCGAGGATGGCGACGGATGCGCCGAAGCGGACGCAGACTCGGTGGTGTTGGTCATCCTCCCTCTCTCCGCGCCGGTCAGCACGAGCGATTAAGCACCATCGGCAGCCATCCGAGGTCGGTGACAGATGCAGTGATGGTAGCAAGCAGCCACATGACGCTCGAGCGCCCATTTCTCCCGGCACCTCCGAGGATTCGACGAGCGGCCTCGGAAGGGCGGCCTTGTTTTTGCCGAAACTTCACACACTGCATGCTGACGGCCGGGCGGAAGCACTTTGCATCGCCTCTCTGCATCTGCCGCCAAAGCCACGAGCGCGTTTCCGACGTGTTAGGGCGCTGATTCATCGAAGTGTGGGAGAAAAAAGAGAATTCGGAAGACGGGGCGTGGGTGAAGGCGTGGATGTGGAGTTGGGGTTGGAGGCGGCGGCATCTGGGCTGTGTGAAAGCAGCGGATGCGAGTGGGTGCAGGTTGCGATCCGCGGAAGCAGCCGCTGCGCATGCGTGCATACTCGGAGGCGTGCCGAGTCTGAGCTCATCCTAGCTCTCCTAATCCCTTCTTCGCGTCGGCCGCATTGATCTTTCCCACGACTAGCTCACTCTTGCTACCCGGACCTTACTCCTCCTCCTCCTCCTCCTCCTCCTCCTC